AGAGAGAGGAACATAGAAACATAGAGACAGGTATTACAATACAGACACAGACAGCCCTTAGGTGACAGCTAGAGAGAGAGAAACATAGAGACAGGTATTACAGTACAGACACAGACAGCCCTTAGGTGTCAGCTAGAGAGAGAAACATAGAGACAGGTGTTACAGTACAGACACAGACAGGCCTTAGGTGACAGCTAGAGAGAGAAACATAGAGACAGGTATTACAATACAGACACAGACAGCCCTTANCCACACCGTGTGCGGAGTCGCTGTGTCATATTGACAACCCGGCTCTATGTACCGACCAATAGCAGCAGGTCTAAGCGAGTCACGTGATCTTAACTTGCGGTTGGCAGCGCGGTTGCACTGCGCGTACACGCACGTCGCACGCGGATTACACGCGACGTACACGCGGGTTACACGCACGGTACACGCGGGTACACGCGTTACACGCGGTACGTACACGTACGTACACGCACGTAGCAGCACGTACACGCGGGTTACACGCACGTACACGCGGGTACACGGCACGTACACGCGGTACACGCACGTTACACGCGGGTACACGCCACGTACACGCAGGTACCGCACGTACGCGCACGTACACCGCGGGTACACGCGGATACACGTAGCGTACACGCACGTACAGCGCCAGCGTACACGCACGTACACGCGGGTACACGCCACGGTACACGCAGATACACGCGACGTACACGCGGGTACCGGAGATACAGCGCACGTACGTACAGCGCAGCGTACACGCGGGTCACGCATGTACACGCAGATACACGCACGTACACACAGATACACGCCACGTACACGCTGGGTACACCGCGTGTACACGCGGGTACACGGAGATACAGCGCACGTACATGCGGGTACACGCACGTACACGCGGTACACTCACGTACACGCAGATACACGCACGTACACGCGATACACGCACGTACACGCGGTACACGCACGTGCACGCGGGACACGCGGGTACACGCACGTACACACAGAATACACGCACGTACGTGCGTGTACCCGCGTGTACGTGCGTGTATCTGTGTGTACGTGCGTGTATCTACGTGTAGCGTGCGTGTACCGCGCGTGTACGTGCGTGTAGCGTGGCGTGTATGCTCGCGTGTACCCGCGTGTACGTGCGTGTACCCGCGTGCACGTGCGTGTACCCGTCGTGTACGTGCGTGTATCTGTGTGTACGTGCGTGTACCCGCGTGTACGTGCGTGTACGTGCGTGTACGTGCGTGTACGTGCGTGTCACGTACGTGTACCGCCCGCGTGTACCGCGTGCAGCTGGTGCGTGTACCGCGGTGTACGTGCGTGTATCGCGTGTACCGCGGCGTGTACGTGCGTGTATCTGCGTGTACGTGAGTGTACCCGCGTGTACGTGCGTGTACGCCGCATGTACGTGCGTGTATCTCCGTGTACCCGCGTGTACACGCGTGTACCGCGCGTGTACGTGCGTGTATCTGTGTGTACGTGTGTGTATCTGCGTGTACATGCGTGTACGCGTGTACGTGCGTGTACTGCGTGTATCTCCGTGTACCCGCGTGTACGTGCGTGTACCCGCGTGACACGTGCGTGTACCCGCGTGTACGTGCGTGTATCTGTGTGTACGTGCGCTGTATCTGCGTGTACGTGCGTGTACGCCGGTGTACGTGCGGTACGTGCGTGTACGTGGCGTGTACGTGCGTGTACGTACGTGTATGCCGCGTGTACCCGCGTGTACGTGGCGGTAGCGGCGTGCGCTGGTGACGTGCGTGTACCGCGCGTGTACGTGCGTGTACGCGCGGTGTAGGGTGCGTGTACCGCGCGTGTACGTGGCGTGTACCGCGTGTACGTGCGTGTACCCGCGTTGTACGTGCGTGTACCGGCCGCGTGTACCCGCGTGCGTACCCGCGTGTACGTGCGTGTCATCGCGCGTGTACGTGGCGTGTACCGCAGTGCAACGCCGCGCTGCAACGCGCAAGTTAAGATGCGTGACTCGCTTGAGCGCTGCTGCTATTGGTCGGTTTACATAGAGGCCGGTGTGCAATATAATCTGCCACACGTGGCAGAAAATATCAAACACGTGTGATATTTTCCACACGCAAGAAATCGCTGTGTTTGCACGCGCACACGGTGTGTCTTGTGCTGCGCCATCAGGCACGCGTGTCCGATGGCGCAGCACAAGACACACCGTGTGCGGCAGGCTATAGACCCTATCAGCTGAACTATCGGGTGCAGCCATGCGTAGCACTCCGTACCCTATGGGTCTGGTCTGAACTTATTGGTCTGGGGTTCAAGGTCAGTCTTGATCATTGATATTTTTTCTAATTATGCTGATTAAATTAATTATAAAAGTTCTGTTGATTTACTTCTCACTAGGTCTGTTGAATGCTACTTTGAATATTAATATTCACTCTCTGTTCATGTTATTCTAGATGTAGTAATGTTTGTATAATTTTACTGTAATTATTGTTGTAAATTATATCCTTGGCAGAAATTTTTGCATCACCCTAAAAATGTTTGTGACATTGGACTCACACATGCTCTAAACAGATATTAAAAAGAAACTCGGGCCATCTAGTTGGGAAACATACTCAATCAATGTCGAGCCAACACCAGGGCTGTCTTTGAGACAACTCATCACTGCTGCTTCACCTCCTAAAACTAAGTTTGGTAAGCTCTTTCTGCGTTTTGCAGGCTCTCATGATTATCTGTTCATTTTGAAATGGGTGCATGTATCACTTAATTTAACATTAGTAATATTAACAAAAAACATGTAATTTTATGTACCTACACTTGTTGATTATGTAGGAGGTTTGAGCAAAAGGATCTCTGCAATGGGACACAAAAATGATATTGAATGGACAATAAACCCGAGAGTTACTCCAAATAATTAATGTTATTGATAGCTTTCATTTGATGTAACACAATTACCCTTGCCACTGGGGCAGCCATGGATTTTATTATCGTGAAATAGAAAGGGTACTATACACTAACTTTTGAGTGCATTTTCTCATTATGCATGTACCTCGAAAACCTCTTTGAAGTCCAAAAACCGTTTTGGTGAGCAGTGTGTTTGACATTCAGTGACGATTAAATCTAAAAACTAATATTCAAATGTAAGTTGTAGTCATACAATAATAACACTTGTAGTCAATATAATAGTCACACATATAATAACAACTATCCAAATTTATCCATCACTATCAATTGTATGGATAATTATTGTAGTAGCACTAAAATTTCCAATGGAACAAATTTCTATGCAGAGACTAAAAGTCCCAACCAACATTTGGGATTTGGTTACATAGCTAGATCCTCAGTTGAGAAGCCTCCGGCAGATGTACCTACACAGCCACCAGAAAGCAATAGGAAATACATTGGTATAATTTTAATAGTCTACATTGAGATCATCCAATATTACTCCAATTGTACCAGTAGTTTGTGACATTGTTTTGTCAATATATTTTAGAGTGGGACACAGCATCCAATAATAGATGTCTTATATACTAAACGTTGTGTAAAACCAAAAATTTTAAAACGTGAAAAGATTATTAAAATTTTTACATATTGGCAAAAGGTCTAATAAGTACTATTTCATCAGTCAAACCAGCAATCAGCTTATAATAATGAAATCAGCACAGATTCCATTATTATTACAGAAATTAATAATGTATCATAATCTCAGAAATAATTTAATTTTGACTATTAGTTTTAGCAAGAAAATATCAATATGTAAATAGACATGTTCATGGTTTAGTTAAAGCATGAAGACAGTTAAACTACGAATTATAGTTTTTACACTTAGATATTAATGAAAGATAAATTGAATAGTGCTTTCAGTACAAATGTCTAGTGTAATCCATCTGACAATATGGAGTAATTTGTAGCAACCACTGAAAATATTTAAGAGCATCGTTTAGCTGTTTTTATGATCTATTTATTTATTTAGTTTTATTGTATTACTTTAGCCATGATCTCGTGTATATACAATATAAGATTTTATGACACAGCAGTCAAAAGACTCTAGCTTAGCAGTGGTAGTTTATGTGGCCTGTTTAGAGCGTGGTGGCCTAGATTTAAGGTTATTTACATGACTGTTCCATTCCTGGTAGGGCTCCCACATGTCGACCAGGTGCCAAAGATTGAGGGATCGCTGCTTGAAGTCGTAGTCAACAGGGACGGCTACTGGGTGGCCAGCCGGTGACACCCCAAATAGTGAACATAGTCCCCGTGCCAGGAAGTACTAGCTGTGCTCACATACACAGTGCTGTAACGTCATCCGAGCACTGCATATAGTTTCCCTATAACCTAGAGATGAAGCGGAGAAATTTTCGAGGGATTTAGTATGTGGTTGTCTGGGCTATTCTCTCCAGCAATGCTCGATGCACGTGTGCCCATTAATAATGAATTCTATTGTTGGATGGAAATACAAATAATATAGCGAGTATTTTACGAAATTTTTGTTTGCCTTAGATCAATCTGAACTTTATGGCGCGTATTTCACAAAGATGAAGTAATCTGTACAACAAAAAGGCTGCATTGAGCAATGCCAATGGTGGCTATTGTATCTACACACATATAGGACTTAAATTAGAACTAGAAGAAAGAAATTCCACACAATCCTGTAACTACCACTGTGAAATTGATTGAGATGAACTCCGTAGAATCCAGGCAATAAGTGTGTCTTCTAAAAATGTAGATTGTCATAGTTTGGCATTTTCCAAGGTTGATCGAATAAATGCCCCTTGATAGGTTTACATTGAACCACGTGCTTAGACTTCTGAGAGCATGTCTCTAATTTCTAGGCAGATTAATTCTTACGCTTTATAATGAAACATACAACAAAACTCAATTTCATCTAATATTGCTTTTTAAATTGTGATCAGATGAGTCATTTACTAAAATATTAAAATCAACATTTTTGTGTCTATCATAATTGTATGAATTAAAATTATAATTTACTGTCACCTTTCCTAAAACTCAAGTCACTGTAAAAAATTGTCACAACAATAAAATTCAAAATGAAAGATACTACATATCTGTTCACCTGTCTCTTGTCTTATAAACTCAAGATGACAGCTATATAGTTCTGATTTATTACTTACATAAACATAATTACAATCACAACTACATATAGTACTGTAGTACATCACGACTTGTAAGCACGTCAGCACTTTGCAGCTTAATTATGTGGCTGGTAAGTAGAAATGATGGATACCGTCATGAATATATATATATTAGAAAATTAGACAGTACTAATGCTTGTATTAATGGTACCCTAGGGCCTAATACTACCGATCGTAGCGCTTGTACATGAGTGTCTGCACCGCAGCACCACGTCACTCATGTATCTATATATATATATAATGAGACCGGATTACTATAGGCCACATCACAGCTGGGTTTACACTGACGATTTTGTGTTGCCGAATTGCCAAATTGTACGAACTTGGCCAGTTGAATATTTATAGAGAGGTTGGTAGAAAGAAAAAAAACGCCAAGTCGCCTGCATAAAATTGGCCTAAAATCGTCAGTGTAAACCCAGTTAGTTTCCGTGCGAATGAATGCAGCTTATAAGTGGTGTGCGGCCAGGCTCACTATAGCTTTGAGGCGCCTTATTTGGGCGTACTTAGCGGGCGCTCGTTACACGGCTAATTAATTGCTCGTTGATATGCGACGATGGACGCAGTTAATCTCTCTTGGTTGCTCATTTACGTTGTACCGGTCAGTCGTCTGTCTGTTCTCTAGCTTTGGCGGTGTGTGCACGCGCGGTAAGCAAGCCTTGGACTGAAGTTATATAGCAGCGCAAGAGGAAGGACATTGGCTGTCAGCCAACAATGCCTCTGGTAAGTCACCAACAGTCCATGGGCAACTCTTTATATAAAAACACGTTAACTCATGGTTTTATTCTGTCAGAGTGACTCTTTACTTGCGGAGGTTGCTCAGAAAATTATGCGCGCTTGTATATATGTATACATATATATATATCGTTATGGCATTGATGGCATAGCTAAATGCCAAACTGCACGTTGTCCTAGGACAGTCCAAGGCAATCTTTATTGTTTGGTGTATACTCTAATAAGTTTTATTAATGAAAAATTCTTTATATAAATAATTTTTAACGAGAAGCGTGCATGAGAACTGCTTAAAGATGTATCGCGGATCTTCGTGTAGCATTCCTATTCGTATTCATGTACCCACAATAATAGACTGTAGCACGTACTGCACATGTATGTACTGTACAACTGATATACGTATGCGTGCGCTTGTTCTTTAAGGATACTCTCAAGGTTTTAGACAAAATTTTACCGATTTTTCATTTTCAACTTTATTCGATGGCTAACACTATGTGCCACCTCTGTATATGCTCATTTCTCCATATAACGGTACATGGGAACTTTTAGAGCGGTTTGATTGCCCGCGTGCACGTGTAGCAGGTGATTTATGTGCTCTGCGTGTTGTGAGCAGCAGCTGATGTCACTGATGACGTCAGAGACATGATACAACCAGAATTGTCATGATATTCACTACGCCAGTATCATTCAGCATCAACCCTCCTACAGCTGTCTTATGCCAGTGATAGTTGAAATTGCCGCGCGACCGAAAATAGCCCCGTTTCCCTTGTTACACACCTTGCATTTAGGCGCGTGTTTGTTGACACATAGCTTAAACGGCATGCAGTACACATCGTACGCGCGTTTTGCATGAAAGTGCGGTGGTGACCTTGTAATTTCTCACAATTTCTCAAGGTGCATGGAACATATTACCAATTTAATGGTGTCAGTTAGTCATGGATATGTCACAGTAAGTACTAACAGTAGATGTTTCACATACGTTCACCTATTTTGCACACAGGCATCGATCATTGTGAAAAATAGAAAAACGCTGATTTCTCCGTTTCGATTTCTGACATAGTAGCCAATGTATAAATGGATATTTCTCTGTGATTACAACTGATTAATTTAATTTTACACTCGTTTTAATGGTAAAATATTGCTGTAAAAAAGCGCGTCAGGGATTGTTAATAAGTGCCGTATTTTATCAGTTATGCCTCTTTATTCGCTAAATTTTCCAATTCTAACACACAACTTGATTTTTGAGCAGTTTTTAGCTCATCTGACGTAGTTGGATGCAGCTTGTAGAATCGCATGATTGTCCGTGCGTGCGTCCGTCCGTCCGTGCGTCCGGCCGTCCGTCAACAGTTGGGCACAAAATCTTAACCGCTCGACGTACGCGGTCACGATATTCGGGACGTTGGGGGGGTAATTCGAAAACGAGTTGGGATGTCAAAGCTGGGGGTCAAAGGTCAAGAGGTGTAAAAGAAAGGGGAACATTCCCTCCTTAACTTAAGGTATAGGGAGGAAATGCAGAATTGCGGCACAAATCTAAACAGCTCGACCTAGGCTCGTGATAGTCGGTGTATAGCATCATGGTAGGAAAAGCCATCACTGTGCCGAAATTGGAGGTCACAGGTCAAAGGTCAATGGGGCACAGGGCAGATTTTAGACATTTTCTGAGGACATGGTCTGACGGAGCGATTGAAAAACTTTTTTGTTTCAGCGGTGACCTAGCATTTTTATGGCTTTATTGAAAGGACCATGAAATGTACTTTCTGCTGACATGCGAAGACTAAGTGTTGGATAACCTTTTGACCCTCAAGAGGAGGGTTAAACATAGATTCCTAAACTGCCTCAATGATGTCACAGTGTTCTCATATTCATGGAACATCCATAATCTGGAAAGCCAATATGCCTCGATAGCCCAACGGCTACAGCACAGGATTACGGCTCAAAGATCCTTGGATCGAATACCATCAGATTTTTTATTATTTACCTGTTTTCTGTATTTTTCTATCTTTATCCATTTAACTATTTTTTTCCAATTAAGGCAAATATTTACATGATTTATTTACAACAATTTCATAACAACAAATAATGTTTACAATTAAATTTTTTTTTTTAATAGGGTTAGGGTTAGGGTCACAATGCACCATAAAACAGGAGTTTCAGTCACGCGATTTGTCTCAACCAATGGGATTTGGGAGGTATGCAGAATGCAGAAGGTTGCTGAAATGATGTGTACGCAACTGCGTATCTGCATATCTGCGCCTAACAAAGGTGTCACTGCGCACGACTGAAATTTTACGTTCATAACCGTAGCAACACACCTCAGATGAGCCCAGTCGCTCTGCGGCTCGTTTCCATTTTTCTTGGTAAATATGAAACTCAATAAAAAATCCTGATGCCCTATTTTGGTCAATATTGTGCTTAACCTGTGGCGAAAATTTTGCTTCCTCACTCTTTGTGGTAATTGAGAAATATCCAAAATACCATTTTTACATAAAAATTCAAAACTTGTTTGGTAACATGATTAGGTGCTGGAAATTTCATTAATTTTTTTGGCTTGAGCATAGAGATATATCTCCTCTATAAATAAAACGTGTGATTGATTCGATTCATTTGTCAATAAACGTTTAATATTCATTAGAGCACCGTGCAAAAGATTGAGAGTATCCTTAAATGTAACACAGAATATTTCGGGTGTGCGCTCGAGTAAACTGTAGCGGGCACGGGCGAATGAACCGATTGTAGTGAAAGCAGCCGCGCAAATCGTCATCATTTATTGCATCGTTTTATGATGAATAGTTAATAGCCTTGCTCACGCACGAAGTGTGTTGTCCTGACACCGGGGCTTCCCACACAGACAGCACTAGTAGTCTAACCTTCTTGCTCGCTAATATAATGTCTCTGCGGGCAGGTGCATGCCGTGCTCACGCACCACGCGCACAACACAAAGCGCGCTTTTCAATATTACATTTTTCTCCGGCCGACAGGGAAGAGATAACCTTCTTACGGCAGACAGCGCATCGTAATTGGCCCCTCTGCAGATTATTAAGCGTCTTCAGAGGGTAATCATCCGGCGATAACTCGTGCTCGGGGTGACACGGCCGCGACAGGCTGGCCTGACTGTGGTTCCCGCCGCGAGGCCTGCCCATGAATAAAGAGTTCGGCGTGGTTGCAGGGGACAGACGCGTGCGTTGTGGGCGTCCACGGTGACACAGGACAGCCTGGTCGGTGACACGGGTTACGCGGTATTGCACCAGGACCACACCGTTCCCAGCTGTCTCAGTCAATTACCTGATTTATGGAGCTGGGGTCTCGTTTGGAAGCGATCAGCGCTGCTTTCTTTTTCGCAGCTGTTATTTCTGGATAGCTTTGTCTTGCAGGGGTTGTTTTTTTGGTTAGTGTAATGGTGTCACACGCGGCCAGTTTTTTACAGCCAAGTGATTGCGTCTCGGTCCCCTGAAGCAGTTGCGAATTTCATGCGTGCGAAGACTCATATAGTCGGCATGTATTTTGTTCCCCTATATCTCTACCGATAAATACGCATTGTTACGTTTCGTCGATTGAACGAATAAAATGGTTTATAAGGAAGAGCGTTTCTTGTAACAGCTGATGCGTCAGATGCTACGTTACTAATTTTCCTGACCTCGTATTTTTCAGAAATATTGATCATACGATATAACTGTAGTAATTTGTCCTACAGTATTAACGTTTCATAACGCGCGTTGCCTATATGTTTATAAGCGTATGGTCTGAACACTGATCGTGACATAAATACAGCCGCGTGAGTTAGCATATACTTATATACACACGCGCGCACATCCACTCTGCACGAAGGTGTTTTCATAATAATGTAGCCTCCCAACTTTCCTGTCGAACCGCCATTGTTGTTTCACGTGTGGGGCTCTTGTAAGACTGGTGGCTATCTATACACGCACACATACATCTTTGCGGAGCGGTGTTTGCTTTGTGATCTGCGCCGTGAGAGTCGTTCAGGAGTACTCTGTTTGCTTGAGGTCAGAGTTCCTGACATACACCCCCAGCAAACGGTGGTGTGATAAGTGTAGGTTTGGTAAACGCGTAAAACCTGCTATTTCAGAACATAATAAACTTGCTTCGTTACATTTTCGTCCGGTAGCGGTATTTTACGTCACCCCCCTCCTTCCCCTACCTCCTCGCCCAATTCGGCAATCACTGCTTACGACACAGTGATCTGGTGATCAGCCACGCAGCAGTCTACCCGCTTATCGTCTGACGATGCTGTTGTGTTGCTGATTGACCAGTCACAATGACGTCAGCCATGCTGCATGTATTCTTAGCGAGGAGCGGTCAATTCAAACTGGCAACACAGCGCTCCACCACCACGCACCATTCACGGGGCATCGCAGCAGCGCCCGCTGCAAACTAGTTGTCTCTTACAATGCCTGGGTGCGCGCCGGCCTGAATGGGTCATCTATGTGTTGTGTCTCCCTCGCTGCAGTTCTGGTCCGGTCGCCTTTCAATGTCGGATGCTTAGTCGTTAGTGTCCGCGGAGTGCGCAACGTCTGCAAGTCAACAAGGCGATTCGTTGCTAAGCAAGATTCCCACGGGAAAAAAACATTGACGTGAGTAACGTACATTTGTTTGCTTATTCGGAGTTTAATTTGCTTAAGTCGATGTATATGGTAATATACGTGTAAATAATTGCGCAGGCGATGGAGCGGCCTTTAAGTGCAGGTCTATTTCTTGATAAACTGAGTATAAGGTAGGAACTGCGATGTAAGAGTAAGACCACATAAGAACTAAAAGTAATACGCAGTTAAACCCCTTATTACAAGATGCTACGAACTTTGCATTGAAATGCTATTTCTCACAGATTAAAAAGTTAAACGGCATAATTGCCTCCATTCAACTATACTAGTGAAAGTATATCGACATATCGACAGTATATAAACATTGAAAATGCGATGAGCTCTCTATTAACGGCTAACATCAGATTAAACCCCATGCAAGCTTCTTAACAATCGTCTTGACCCTCAGCTATTCACGGCAGATACTCAATTTTCATGTCCCCGATCGTCGCCTTAAAGAACGGCGCACTTCGAGATCGTATCTGCAGCGATGAGTTGCTTCTCGTGTTTGCGATGGGAATTAACAACGATGCGCGGGGCGGAAACTTCGCCGCGCCGACTAATCTCTCTGTGCGTGGGTGTGTCTCCCGCACCGGTGCCACGTCTAATTACCCCGCTGCGCAGGTAGGCGCGAAGAGTACGGTCTGTGACATCCGATATCTCTCACCTAGCTGTTGACTTTCTCCCCGTCGCTGTGGGTCAATATTTACCCTAATGTACTCTCACGCCCTCGCCGCCACCGTGTGTTGGAATGCGATACATGCAGTGACTCGCTTGACCGGTGGATTTTGAAACTTCGTATTGCTATGTCCAGTGTAACAAGATTTGACTAGTTGATATTCCACTGCTGAAGTCGAGAAATAGTCAATTATTTGGCTGAGGCCGTTCTGTACGTTTTATCAAAGTGTGGTATGCCTTTGATGTTGAAAGTTGCAAGCGGCCGTGTATGCCGTAGGCCCGTAGGGAGCCTTTAATAAGTCTCTTGCACTTGTGAAATATAATATACCTGACAGCTTTGAGATGCGGCAGTTGTAGACCACTAAGGGCCTGATCAGTAAGAATGGATAACCTGATAGAAATGTCACCGCTATATACAGTGTGATGAAATATTGTATTTGACGTATTTGCACATTTAATGTCTGCGCGTAATCGGCCGGAGTATCGTAGTATGCAGCAGTTTTAAAGAATAGTGCAAGGTAGTTCCAAAGAAGAATGCGACCGGATTTAAATTCCTAGCGTTTTTCACGTAATACTGTAATCGTATAAATCTTATAAAGTTGTTTATGATTTCCAGCCACAGTGTGTAGGCGATAATATCGGAAGAATATGATCCTCATGATCCGAGCTAAAACTGGAGCAGAGGACTCCGTTAATCAAACTTGCTGAACTATAGTAAATTCTGATTAAATGTTTAATTTCATGCCTTTACGTTGAGCGTAACTGCACATTTATATTGTCTATCGCCGAACGCGTTTTCGAAGCTGCTCCCTATGCCGGTCTCGCGTGTATTTGCGCCCCGGGGCACACTGACACGGTGAGATCATAATTATATCAAGAGCGGATAATTATCCGCTCTTGATTATATACTTGTGCAGTGCTAATACGTATAATTATCAGACCATCTTCGGTTTTACGTCGCGAGCCAGGCGCGCATAATTCCGCTTATGAACACAATTACAATTTCAAATTTGCCTCAAGGTTTGTCTGGGGCGGTTTTATTACCGATGTACGCTTCTCAGACTGATATCCTCTATCGGGCAGCATAAAACATACATGAGTGGAACCGTCGCCACACACACCCACCGCTTTCTGCGCGCGCGCCAGTATTGTACGTCACGTGCGAGCTGTGCTACCCATACAAGCCCGACTGAGCCGTGTTTTACGCCAGCGTGTGAAGGCGGCACAGACAAACACGTCTGTATAGTCACATGGCGGTTTTATCAGGCAGAAGGGAGCAGCGAGATTAGTTCGTGTGGTTTCCGGCCACGATTATCGGAGTGTCACCGCCTGTATATCGTATTGCCTCTGACGTTCAGATAGGCAGCAAATTAACCAGTTAAAACAGTGACGTCCCGCGCGCAGTTTTGCCTTTTAGCCTGACAAAATAATCGATAAGGCATGATGCATGAGTATAGCTGTGAAACATTGATCACAAAATATTAATTTGATAGCGATTATCGTAACTATTTTGACGTTGGCGACATAGCTGGAAAAGTTTTGAAGGTTTCATTGTGATCTGTCTGACGTCCTTTGTATTCTTCAAAATCTGCCGATTTACTCTACAGAAGTCAACGCGTTATAGTTTAAGTTCGCTGTTGAGGGAATTTGCTTCGCCAAATAAACCGTCTTTAGCTGGGCTTTTAAATCATGCATTACCAATAGTTTTTTTTTCTGTCAAAGGCGGCTTTACAAAAGCCACTTCGAGGAATCGGCCTAGCACGTTAAGCCTTCTTAAACTATACCCGTGAATCATTCATAATCGTCGTTTTTTCGCCTCAAGTCGAAGGCTCATTTGCAAAACCGTTTCAAGAAATCGGCTTTCTATGTTAATGTCGCGCTGCGCTGCATGAATTCTACTAAAAATCTAGACTGGCTCCATGACTACCCGTAACTGGGCCCAATTGGATCGTTTTTCAACGACTGGCGGGGTAAATCCACTGGCGGTTCCAACAAATCAGTAAAAATACAAAATAATGTTTAATAAATATTATTGCATCACTAATAACTCTCCTATCTGCGGTAAACAACTCCTCACTGCCAAAGAAAAGCCTAACGTCGGCGCGAATGCTGGCTCTCTGCAATAGGCTGCGTACTCCCCATGCATACATAATAATACCGTAGGCCCTATTATTACCGTAGTTATTACCGTAATAAAACTGCCAGTGGGTAAATCGAATAGACGCTTGTAGCCGGGAAACATCCAACGTTGCATGTTGCTCGTGTGTGTGTTTGATCGACAGCGCGAATACTACGTGACTATATATACGTGAATGTACGTGACTTGCGCAGGCTGACCGCGTGCGACGCGGCGAGAGCGAGAATGACGGAGCGATCGCTTCCTCCTCTGTGACAATCAATTCATCGCGCCATTGTCCGTTGCCTTGTCCTTCGCGGCCGATGTCCGTCAGTTTGCTCCGGGGCGCGTGTCTCTCGTTTGTGCTGATGTTCCCGCGAACAGCGTAACGACGTAAGCGGGAAAACATCGCAAACCACTCGCGGTTAGATCTCGTGGCGTCTCTAGGGGATGGTGTGAGAGAGGTGGGGGGGGGGTGGAGGATCGGGTATCTCGACCGAAGACACTAGAGGATGGCCGTTTAATACCGAGCGTAATAGCATTAAAATATATCAGCGTCCACGCGCGCGACGAGAATGGTGTTGCTCTCGGATTGCTCATTAAATATTTATGTAAAGATCGAAACGCGATTGCAGACCAACACAAAAAATAAAGGGATACGCATTATGCTGACTTTGAAAGCAACGTGTGATGCACACATGATATCTGCGTTCATGCTGACATCGCTTTACATATTAGCAGGGGTGAATATTGGCATATTTGGCATTATTCTCTGTTGTTAATGATGATAGATTTGCCATTATTAATTCACTCATGATATTAGATTTAGAAACGGCGATACATCGAACGTATATATATATATATATATATATATATATATATATATAATTATATATATATATTCACGTACGTGTGTATTTGTGTATTGACGTCGTCGGTCGCAGTCCGGTCGGACTAAAAGTATACGTAAATGTTCAGGTAACCTATGAAAGTATGTTCACTGCTACATTCGTGCATATGTACTAAAAGTACTACGTTTCCTCTTAATTGATGTACTATAATCTATATTTATATGTACTAAGATTGAATTAATCGTATGTAAACATCGACTAAGACAGTATAAGACCACGACTTATGCGCGCAGGTACTCGATGTATATCAGAAGATGTAAGTATAGATTTGGATAATTATGTGCAGTATGTACATGAGCCAACGGCCGGCCCAGTCGTCGGCGCGACTACACAGCGTTGCTGCACGGATGATAAATGGTTGCGATGAGTCGGCGTAGATGAGTGCTCTCGTGCCCAGGGGCATAGCCCGCCGCCGTATATATACCTGATGATCCCAGCTAACGACTTGCGCACGGTCACATTGGCGACATTGCATTTGAACCATCTCGTTTTAACCGTGCGTGCGTGCGTATGTGCGTGTGCGTGCGTTCATGCGTACGTGCGTGCTTCTTTGCGTGCGTATATATATATATATATCAAGAGTACATAATATAATAGGAGATTACATAATACATAATAAGGATAATACATATAATCTCCTATTAATATTATGTACTCTTGATATATATATATATACAGCTGTTCAGGTGTGGGCGTGTGTACGCATCGATCTCCCCTTCTCTTTACACGGGTGGGTGGGTGTGCGTGTGTGGGTGTGAGTGAATGAGTATAATAACGTTCGTGCATGCGGGCTTACATTACATTTTCGCGTGCGGGCGGGCGTGCAATACTTGTAGGCGTGTGTGCGGTCGTACAATACCGTGTGTGTGTAGGCGTGGGGATGGGAGAGAGAGTCTGCAGACGTCCCTAGTGTCCCGGTCTCACCGGGATCGTCCCGGTGCGACATGCTGGTCCCGGTGTCCCGTTAAGAGTCCAGAAAGTCCCGGTCGTAACATATTTCAGCCATATTTTAAATTTTACACCAGTAAATTATTAAATTTGCCGTGGTTGTTGATGTACTTTGATTCCAGCGAACAATATAAGAAGTTGTATGAATTCTGGTCTGTTAGAAAATGTAAAATATTAAGGTGATGCAATATCATAATATACTCGTATAATAATAAATAAATGTGAAACCATAAATTAACATGAATTTGCATTTTATTTTACATGTATACTTTATAAAAAATGGTGGTGCGCCGCGACAAACACATGTCGCAGCCCGCCACAACTTTTTTCCTGTTTTTCCGCACCGCGAAAAAACGGCGATGGATCATTATTACAAGTGATCCCTTTCTTGGATTTCCCCAACTTGGTACCTCTGAGTCTGTGCGTATATGTATGTGTGTGCGTGCGTGCGTGCGTGGGTGTGTGTGTGTGGGTGTGTGTGCGGTGGTACCTCTGAGTCTGTGCGTATATGTATGTGTGTGCGTGCGTGCGTGCGTGGGTGTGTGTGTGTGGGTGTGTGTGCGGTTTGTCTGCTGTGTGTGTGTGTGTGTGTGTGTGTGTGTGTGTTTGTGTGCGTGCGTGTGTGTGCGTGCGCGGGTGTGTGTGTGGGCGTGTTGTCTGCTGTGTGCCCATTCATTCCTTGTGTGTCCTTCTTATGTCCTTCAGCTTACATTCGTAATGCACTCTTGTTCGTTTTCCGTGAATGAAGACTTGCACACGTAACATTCGTGAAGCGAGCCATCATGCTATAGGCTCGTACCATGCTGCTCTCTCGCTGTGGCGCACCGAGCATTGATGCCACGCGAACCGGTTCATCATTATTCAATCTAAAACGACAGCAGAGAATAAATGTGCCAGCTCGAGGCTAGAAAACGCCCTTCGTCTCCCTTATGCAATTTGCGAACAAATGAGGGAAGAATACGACTGGCCATGATTTAATATGTACACGCCAGGTTGCCTTACGTTGTAGTGGCAAAAATGGCTTCATGCAATAGTGGATATGTCGCAGCGAATTTCCGTCGAGCGTCGAAGCTGTAAAAAACTGCCACTTCTTTATCTGCCGTCGACTTATTTGAATTCGCTTTTTGTATCTCGCGCGTAAAAATGCAGGAAGCATATTTATCTCGCTTGCTTCGTTAGATTTTTTTCGCAAGCGAGTACTTTCTCCTGTCGCGTTGCGTTACTGCATCTAGACGGCGTTTCTCTCTACGCCGGTGTCAGATGTGGAGAGAAATATCTCTCACACGCTCTACTGATCTCGTCGATGCATATCGCGCCTGAGTAAGTGTGCGACGTACTAATCATGTTTGCTCTTACTGCCGACGTTTACGTTTTAATTTCATAAAAAAATATTTAAGAACTGGGAGAGCGGAAGGGAGAGCGGGGAGCAGGGATGGAGCGAGAGACAGAGAGAGACATCTAGATAGATAAACCGAGAGACAGAGAGATATGGGGAGAGGAGAGGAGAGGCGCAAGAGAGAGGGGGGATTCGAGTCAGCTGTTGGTTATTTTAAACCAGGTGGTTACACCTGCGCGTGCATATATCTAGAGTGTGTGTGTGTGTGTGTGTGTGTGTGTGTGTGTGTGTGTGTGTGACAGGGAGGGGGTGCGCCGACGGTGATGCCAGCTGCCAACTGGCAAGTGTTAGCAAGAAACTCCTCGAGCGTCTCTCATCGGCAATTAATACTTGTCAGCTGGCTGAATGCAAAGAGCAAAGTGTTGCAAATGTGTTCGTCCTAGAAAAGCTAAGTGCGCTGACGACGCAGCATAAGTCACAGCGCCATGCCTGGGGTTATTGCGCGATTCTAGGTCGACCACATACGAAAAAAGTGTTAATCAATTTGCCAACGAGTTCCGTTTGTTTGACTTTCGACGTTGTTGCGTCTGTTATTGCGCGAGCAATTTGTTTGTATCTTTATTGAGCGATGGGAAATACCAACCGGTAGCAATATATATTAATGGTTCCGTGATCGTGTGGCGTTGGGTACCCGTACGGCGACAGATAGTTCGGGCACGTAGTTTCGATCGCGCTTGAATGTGAGCAATGCCGCAGAAGATACGGTGGCGAGTATACTGGCGTCACCTCGCGCCCGAGCTCGGCGAATATCACCGGATTGATGGGTATTTGCACGCGCTTAGCAGACGCAATTAGAGAATCTGTCTGCCGTCAATATATACGGTCGTCGATTTACGGACAAAACGTGGATCGATGTGAGGAGTAGCGCATCTCGAGTGAGGCTAACTGAGCGCGACAGATGGAGTATGAGTGCAATAAGTAAGAGAGCTTGACCATCTGTCTGCTGCCTGGCTGCAAGGCGTCTGTGAGGGAGAAGAGGCTGCGTTGGCGTTGAGCTTCGCCTTAAAACTCAGCACAGTCCTCCGTGGAGAATACACATCATACACCCATATCCCTTCAACCACAACAGCCCAAAGTTTTCACCCGTTTGTGGGTCCGCCCCTCCAATCGTAACTGCGACTAAAATCCACACGATACATTTGTTACTTGTGAATTTAGTCATAGCCTATGGCACCTCTTATCAAACACGCCTCAAAGTCCGGCCACAGGTCATGCACATAAGCGGCCCCTTCGCTTTTCTGCACCCCATCTCTCGCCTCTCAGGCACACAGTATAGGTGCATTGCACTCGAAGAATGCAGCCGCACGAGGGAGGTAATCGCAAATGACAGCGCCATCTTATCTCCTTCTCGGCGCTCCTTTCTTGCGGCGTAGCGTCGACTCTTTCAGTTTGGCGTGCCTCTCTAACTCGATGCTCGTCAGCTGTCTGTCGGGGGCGGTGATCACGCGCGACCAAAGACGATGACGATAGCAGTTGTGCACGATGATGACGGTCATAGCCACCGGCGACGGTGATGGTGTCGCCGACGACGATGATGTTGGTCGTAGCTGCCGACGACGGTGATGTTGGTCGTAGATGCCGACGACGGTGATGTTGGTCGTAGATGCCGACGACGGTGATGTTGGTCGTAGATGCCGACGACGATGGCCATCGCGACCGTGGACGACGATGACAATTGCAGCCGTCGACGATGGTGACGGTATAACCACCGACGACGATGGCGATTGTAGCCGCCACGGGCGATAACGTTGGACGACGATGATGTGGCGACGACGACAACTGGCCGGCCAGTGTTCTCGCACGACAAAGCTACGTGAGCGTGCGCGTGTCACGGTTCAAAGTTATCAGCAGCATGGGTGTAGAAATAGCGGTGTTAATTTGACGTCGTGTGGACAGTCGAACTAATAACACATTCTATTGCGAATAATGTAAAATTACTAGGGTCTCTGGTATTTTCCCTGGGTAAGTTTCACAGTACAGGAATTTATCGCCAGAAATAGCTACGGTATATTACAAATCATCCACCGGCGCACAGCACGTGAGCGCAGTCCAATTACAGCAATGTAATATTACCACAACTCTGTGTGTGTGTGTAATTTTCCTTTGCGCTGCTAACTATATGGCCAGTCTTATATATCCTCACGAAATTTGGGAGAAAATCTTGGAAACGCGTAGAAGTGCTTGCAATCGAGATTAGATTCCAAGTGCTTCTAGACCAATGATTCCAACGAGAATGGAAAGCGTGGCGGTGACGAGAGAATCTCCAATGAAAAGGGATGCTGCGATGCCTTGAGATGGGCTTATATGCCGAGGAATGAGCAGTAAGCTGACTTTTGTTCACTGTCGCTGCAGCGGCCTGTCCCCTCACGCTATAATGGGCAGAAATACCTGAGTGCATTATTCTGCCTCGTGGCCCGCTCTGCTTTGAAGTTGTGAAAGCAAGCGTGCATGCTTGGGAGTGTGCTTTGTGCGTGCTGATGTATACGACGAGTCCATTAGCACCTACGTTTCCAGTCAGTGTGCTCGCAAGCAACCTTCGTGCAGGTGGTAGCCCTTTTTCACGTACGCATGAATAAATTGCTTCCTAACTTTCTATTCACATTCCTGTAAGCTTTGGCCATTAGTGAGATAAATTGGCATGTATAGTAACGTTTCAGTCATTACCAGGTGAACTTTCAGGTTATTGTGGGTTCTTCATCTTCCAGCACATTGAAATTCCCCTAGACGATGATGTTGATTCGATATGACTCAATCTAGTTATGGAATGAAATGTATGGTTTAACACACAGACTGCAATAGAATACGATAGAGTCAACCCTATCCTACTATAATGTATAACAAACTGCAATATTTCTTTTAACTTCCGTTATATCGGAATAGTAAATATCGCGTGTGCGCATCCGTGCGTACTTGAATGCGTGTGCGTTTGCATGCCCTTTCCTGGGGCGGCTCGCTGAGAGTGTTGTACGGGCTCTGACGTCATCAGCCAGTAATTGATCGATGAACGACGTCACAGCTCGCGAAAGTTACTGGTTACGCGACACAGTATACGCCCTCATACCATGCTGTAGCGCAGTCGTGGCACCGCGAGGGGCCAGTTGAGGAGAATGACTTTATCTTTTTCACGTTGATGTTAGTCAACTTTAGCATACGTTCTGTCGGTGCGGGAACGGTGCCGTTGGGGGAGCGTGGGGTGTCATTAGTGGTCGCAAGGGGATAGTGTTGTTAGATGTTGATGCAGTCCAGCGATTCTTTTTATTACTTTCTTTATAGCCAAATCACGCGTTGAAGTGGCCATTATATTCAGCTTAGCAGGGCGTTTTTTTGTCGAGTGTTTTTTTTATTCGCAGTACAATCGGTCGGCGAGGTGTGTTTGGCAGCGATCTCTGCCTTTTTGGTTGCCGCTCAGGGGCAAGGCGGTGTCGGCATTCTAGCAGTCAACGCGTGAGAATAAAATTCTCTAAGTCAGTGTGCACGGCGTATTACAACTTATATATTATAACCAAGAGCTAAAAATTCATGCACGATTAGCTCTTGATATAACTTAGGTTGACAAACAGACAGGCAGACAGTCGGACAGACAGACGGACTGACGGACGGACGGACGGGCGGGTGGACGGACAGACGGACAGCCAGACAAACAGATAGATAGATAGATAGATATGTGATTCTGACACCAAACTGGTCTCTGCGACTATTATTAGACGGAACACCGTCTCGTTAATACACAGGACGTAGGACACCGGGAGCTGTATCCAGGGTCGGATTAAAAAAATTACCCTGCTCGAAACAAGGCGCGGCTGCACAGCCACACGTAGGGTCACATTAGTGATTTGTACTCGTCCTGACAGGTCTGGCGAGATTCGCGTATCGTCGGCAGCGGCGTCATGAAGCGATCCATTCTCAGAAACATCCTCAACCTGCCCGCAGCCTGCGCGAAGGCAGCCACGACACCGGGGCAGGACTGCTGGCAAAGGAGCAACGCCGGAGTCACACAGGTGCGTGCTGTCTCACCGTCTCAGCCCTCTGCCTTCTTAGCAACTTATTCGCCGCCCTAAACCCCGATCCAGCGATAGCCCTAATAGCTACAGCTCTTACACTACTTACTGCATACGCATATACTTACTTCTAAATACACATGTACTTACTACTTACACATATACTACTCCTACCCCTTTCCCCATCCACCATTATCCACACACTCACATCCACACATCCACTGTCATCTCTCTCAAACCTACATCTACTATTATCCACACACTCACATCCATTAACATCTCTCCCACACCCACAGTTCTGCCAGAATTCCCACATCCACATTCCCTAGCATCCTCCCCTCGCCACGTCTTTCTTCTTCCACATCAACATGCACGCCAACACCCACGCAAATACCTACCACGAGACCCACGATCTTCTCACACACCCTCATCGCCTACCACACATACTCTCACCCTTACCTCCCTGCCATCGGCATTTCCTTAACCGAGCTTATGTTCACTCGATGTATGTGTCTCGTCGGCAGGGAGCCGAGGATTTAGAGAGCACGTACGTCGCCGGGGAGATGGTCGACGACGAGGGTTACTACCAGGGCATCTACGTCGGCTGCACGTCGAAGCGCGACGCCGACACGCGCCAGGCAGCTCCCACCTCGCTCCTACATCAACCGTCCGCCACCGCGCCCCGTGCCGAGCCGGAAACCAGCGACTGCACGTTCGACGAAGACTCTATCGATGAAGATGAAGGACGGCTGAAGGTGGCCGTCGCTACAGACGCGGCGACGCGCTGCGACGATGATATTCCCGTCGGTCGGATCGAGATGGCGCCGAATGGTCGTCACCTGTTCTTCGCTGACGCTAGCGTCGTCTTCAACGGTGACCAGCCGACAGTCGGGCAGCAGTCGGCGAGGGAAACCGCCGTGGAGGTGTCGACTAGCCGAGGTGCAGTGGAGGAGCGAAGTACTGTCTTGTCACAGTGCACGGTAGAAGCGCCGGCTGGTAGCGATGCAATGAACAGCGAGCGTTTATACGGGTATAGCAATGCCGATGACGATTCAGATACGCTTGTGAAGGTAAGGGAACTCATGAAGGAGAAGCCAGCAAGTGCAAACAGCAGGGGAAGGTTCCCCGATGCCGCTATGGACGTGTCGATTAGTGACGCTCAGAGGTGTACACTTCCTAATCGGCTTGAGAGTCGGAGTCTGGCAAGTGCAAGCGTGGACAGAACGTGCAGCATTGCAGCCATAAGTCGACATGGGGTAAATACGTGCATGAGTGACTCATTCGCGAGCGAATCGCCACAGATTGTGAGCAACCCTAGGCTAGCCTCTCTGGCGGCCGCTCAGTGTAATAACAGGATGAGAAACCAGGCAATTCCCAGTCAGCAGATCGGGAGGAAAAATGCCTGCAATGAGGCAGTTGCGCCCGTGGCGTTGGCACGCGGGTTCGTACACGATGCCAACCTTCCACACGAGCAGGTGGACTCGGGCTGTAGAGCAACCACGAGCGATGACATCGTCGCAGCACGTAGTGTCAACTCAGGTGATACCACGTGCAGTACCGCCACCGATCACGTCCGGGATTTCGCGGTGCGTCAAGCGAGAAATATGACTTCTCTAACGAAGCGTTCGCCCGTAAAGCGAGTGATCGTGAGTCCACGGCGGGTGACAATGCGATACGTTGACGCCCGCAGCGTGCGGGCAGCGCGAGCCAGCTGCTACGTCGCATCACCGCGGAAGGCAGCCATTCGCAAGCTAGAGACGAAGACAGCTCAACGACATGCGCATCGGCAGACAGTGGCGGATTCCCCGAGAAGAATTAGTAAGAAGCGGTTGGGAAGCCGGGGTACTCCGTGCCGTGAGCGCACCTACGGCAGGGCGCCGCTGCAGCGCCGAGAGCGAAGTCGCAGTGGAAAGAGCAGGCGCTGCTTGTCCTTGCAGGCCGCTAGATGTCGACACTGCTGCTGCTGCTGCTGCCGAAAGATGCAGGCAACCGCTTGTGGGTACGGCGAGGAACGTCATGGTTCGCGAAAGGTGTCGGCATGGCGCGACGACTTTTGCAGTGATGAAGATGACGCTGAGGAGGAAGAGGTAGAAGATGAGGAGGAGGGGGAGAGTTTTAGCAGCTTGCAGGCACACGTAAACGAGCTGTCACTCTATGGAGCATCAGACGGATCTGACTATTCCACGGACTCGGAGTCAGAGACAGCGCCACCGGGGAGATGTGCGTGCAAGAGCTCGCCTCAGAGGTTGCAATACGCAAGATTCCGCGTGAAGACGACGCAGCAGGCACGCGTACACAAGCTGGCGTCACATGCCATGTTACGCCGGAGTAATCGGCAACGTGTGCCTTCACAGCGCTACGACGCACGCCCAACGCACGACATTGAGTGGCTCTCCCAGGCGGGAGGACGACTAGCGGATCCATGCTGGGACGAACTAAAAAGCGAAGTGAGATACTGCGGCGGTAACGCCAGGGAGGCGTCTGCAGCTGCCGACGTCCAGCCTGTGGACAGACAAGTGAGCATGCATGGCATGTGGCACAACCAGCGTTCGGGCAGCAGCAGCAACAGCTCGAGTAGGAATGACCTGCAGTTGCAGAATCCGTCCCCGTTACGCCACCGCCGAGGAAGACGAGAAGAAAAGGAGAAGCAAAGAGAAGGTTACCAGGGGAAGGTTGGACGAGGACAGCAGAGGAGCCACAGCGTGTCTCGGCGCGATATTCCGGACAGAGGTGAGACGCAGAGCTAGTGTTTCCGCAGCCTTCTGTGTTCATCTGTCGTTTCCCCTGCTGTTACAGCTCCGGTTGCGTGCGAGCACAGCTGTCTCTTACGAGCAGCAGATGCATGCTCAAAGAGCAGTGAGCAGCGAGACGCGTTCATTTATCTGCATAAATGTGTGGCGAGATGAATAAAATTAGCATGGAATTAAATGCGGATTTGTCAAGACATCCATCATTTAAAACGAGTCGAAACGAAACGTAACGAATTACACAGTTATTAGTTGTCGCAGCGTTATAACCGTTCTTAGTCTCTGGAAATCATTCGCAGGCATAATAATTTAGCGGTTACCGCGACCTTCATCAGCTGATGAACGGATTCTGTGATGGTGTCTGTTACCAGTCGCCAATGAAATATGTGATGGCGTCATCATGACGCGTTAGGAATATTATGGTTTCTATTCAAATTACTACACTATCTATCTTTTAGTATCTAAAAGGTGATAATATATATTCATGATTTAGGACGGTTTCAGTCATTCATCTTGCAGGTCAGTTGCAGCTGGGAATTGGCGCCCATTTTGGCATGCTGAGTGTAACAGGTACGTGTACGGTGATAGCGATGTAATATATACACGACGTCACCTCGTGCAAGGCGGGTAATTATTTCGGAAGCACGTCGAATTAAAAAAGTGAAAGAATCGAATTAACTTGGAAAATTTATTCTCTGCACGAAATTAATCGAATTAACTGAAAGGCGCAATCTATAATTAAATTTTTTGATTCTGTAAACACACGTTCTCATCCTGTTTACGTAAAGTGAACGGCAACAAACATTACAGCAGCAACAGTTGACATTTACAAGCGATTGGTGGCGCACGTCGATCAGCATCAACCCTCTGTAAGATCGTTATGCACTGAACTCTCTTCTGTTTGTTGTACAGTTGCACAAGCTAAAGGATTACAGCCAAAGGGAAGAAGGCCACCAAATACGTTCATTAAGGTACGCATGATATAGATTTGACATATACCTTACCTTAAGAGGTGTATCGTTTCATTTCTTATTATTTGTTATATAGACACATTTTTAGGTCAATGTATGGAGACATCGCCGTGAGTACCTCAAAGATGTGTAATGAAAAAAGGTATGCGGTAAATTAAACTACGAGTATCTAAGCATTTTTATTTGGCTGTGGAATAACGGTCTCTCGTGCATTTTAATCACTATAGAAATGGAATTCTATCGTAAAGACTTCATCAGACAGGAGGGGGGCCCGTCACCTTAACGAATAATATTACGTGATGTTTTCATTATAACGCCAAGACTATAAGGGTGAGTTTCCACCTGTTATTATTAATCCGTAGGTTTCACTAGTACCCGACACGGAGAAGCGCACGTTCTGTACCACCGACGCCGTGACGAGCAGCTATGCACCGCACTTCAACCAGCAGTTCTCATTGTAAGTGAATTATACGCACACGATTTCACCCACAGACACACATGCGATTTACTCTATAATCAGACGTTTGCGTTTAAAATCGATGACATGATGCGCTCAATCTCTCTCTCGCTCTCTCTTTCTCTCTCTCTCTCTCGCTCTCGCTCGCTCTCTCTCTCTCTCAGACTCTCCGCCCCCGCTCTCTGCGCGCGCACCACAGCTTTATGCCTCGCTGCTCGTTTTACAGGCCTTGCATTCGCCCGCTGTACCGTCACATACATACACACACACGCACCTATACACGGGCACAGACGCACACGCGCGCAAACACACGCACACGCGCACGCACACAGCGACGCAGACGTAGGCACAGACGAAGACATAGACACAGATACAGACGCAGACGACACGCGCAGACACGGACACAAACACAGACACAGACACAGATCGACGCACACGACACGCAGACGTAGACGTGAACACTGACGCAGACACAGACGCGCGCGCATGACGAGCGAAGCAAGAACGTACAGACTTTCAGCAGAGAAGGAGATTCGCCAATTTTTATCAAAGCGGGGAAGGGAGGACACGTAGTCCATGAGCCAGACCAAATTTCATTACCAAAGAGGTGAACAGATCCAACATGGATTTTTGGTTAGCCTGATATATGAAGTGTCCAAAATCACTTGATGGACTTTCGGGTCACTTTGCCAAAT